GTTTGCATCACTTTTTCTCATGTGATGTTACGTCAAGAATCGCAGGTTTTCCAATTTTCATACTGAATTGGTGCATTTTCATCAACCAGTAGAAGATTATTTCTTTTTGGCTGATGACAGATGCAAAAATTTTTTTCTCAAATTTCGAGAAAAATATAAAATTCATTGAAAACGAATCAAGGAATTCTTTCACTTTCTTATATCTGTATAATTTTTGCAGGGATTGACTCATGATTTTTACATCAATTATCTGTCAATTTTCAGTCTGTTTGAGCACAACCGCGTTTTTTGTGCAACAAATATAGAAAGACAAAACGTGAATTCGAAAAAAAATACATGGAAATGTTTCAAGAAATTCTTCTGGTTTCTCGACAAACGATTTTCGTATGAAATCGTGCGTCGGAAATTTCGAATTCTTTCGTTTTGTTTCGGCCGGAATTCAATCTGAGCACATCAAATATTCTCAAAATATATGCAGGCAAATAAATCATTGATGAAAAACGTTTAGAAATTCCTTTCGTCGAATGCATAATTTTTGGACAAAAAAAAACCGCAGATTGCAGCCTATATGAAGGGACAAAAAGAAATTTCTCAAGAAAAGTATTTTTCGAGAGTGAAATGAGGAATATTTCATGCGCAATTTTTCCACAAGATCGTCGCGAATGTTTTTGCAAAACAAAACGGTCTCAAAAATCCCATAATTTGCTTGTGTGTTTTTTCTTCTTTTTCAAAAGAAAAGTGGACTAAGTGAGACACGAACTTTCTAAGGCGTTCCGACTAAAGACTCGGACTAGAGCTTCGAAGGTGCAACAGGTTCGCGAAGTACCTTCTGGTAAATGAGTTGCGGCACAGTTTAAATGAGCTTTTAATGACAGGGCTGTTAATTACAGCCTCTGGTTCTGATCCATTGTCAACATTGCTGTCGTGCTCGTCGGCCAGCAAAAGCGACACTGTGTCTGCGGCTTCGTCGTCGTCGTCGTCGTCGAAGGAACGATCTTCGCTCAATTTCTCGCTCGTCAGTCTTCGACGGCGTTTGAAGGAGTTGCTTCGCAGGCTCGGCTGACTGATGGTTTTTTGTTTTGTTTTATAAAATGCATAAATGTTGTTTTTGATTCAAATTTTTTTTTTAAGGAGGGACAGACCTGGAACGAAGCATGGCTAAAGTAATGCTGCCAGAACGCTGTGAACGCATGTGTCGAGGAAGTCCGGAAAACATTTTTTGGCCTCTCGGTGGAGGCTCTGGAATTGGCTGCTCAGTTTCATTGGTTCTGGTCTATATATTTTTGGGAAAATACTGTACTTAATTTCTCGTGAAATATCTCCATATTTGAGCTAAATTCATCAGGTTTCCCAAGTTTAAAGGCGTGGGACAAACCGAAAAGGTTTCCTCGAAGCAATTTATGAATTTAGTTGCGTGAGTTATTGTGAGGTCCAATAAATCGTTTATCTTATCTCTAAAATTCACATCATCAGGTTTCCCAAGTTTAAAGGCGTGGGACAAACCGAAAAGGTTTCCTCGAAGCAATTTATGAATTTAGTTGCGTGAGTTATTGTGAGGTCCAATAAATCGTTTATCTTATCTCTAAAATTCACAGTGAAATACGCATTGAATGGAGACTAGCTCGAGACAAGTTTAAATTTTTTTATGACGCTATACAATTATTATTTGAGGGCAATGAAAGAATTCTGCTTTTTCGGATGAAAAAAGGAAAAATATGCGTTTTAGAAAAGTTTTCATTTTTCAAGGTCCTTGTGAACGTCGAAAATTGGAAAATGAAGCTTGCTGCTGAATTAAATTCAATAATAAATTTTAATAAAATTAGCTCTGACAAATTCTATCAATCCCACACATGTTTTAAAGATTAAACCAGTTCCTTAAAATTGCAAAATATCTAATACAATATGCAACGATTACATGGAATTATTACTTTCGCGACAGAAATTTTGAATTTTTTTAAATGAAAGAAGTTCGTATACTTTTTCTGACAGGACCTTAAGATGAGTTTTGACTTTTGTGAGTTCTTGTGTTTCCATAAAAAAAAATTTACTTTATCTTATGGTGAATTTGATAATTTTAATATTTTCCCTATTTTCCCTTTGTATCAGAATAATCGGAAACAGCTTTGGAGCCCCTGGGAAATGTTTTTCGAGGTGTTAGGGGCTCCGCGGAGCACATTTTATAGATGTGGATTCTCTTTACAACGATTTTTTCTTTATAATGAATTTTTTCTTCGGCTCCATCGGAGTTTTCTCCCCATCATATAATACGTATTTACGTATAATAATCTCTATACAACGAATGTTTCCTGGTCTTTTAAATTTCGGTATATAGAGATTTCAAAATTTAATTTCGGAAGCGAGATTCCCTTAAAATTGTTCTCGCATGACTTCTACGAATTTAACGTAGATGAAAAATTTAGAAGAAAATATCGTTTTTTATGGGAATATATGCGTGAGGACGAGGAGGTTACTTCTCCGTCAGCAGGTGATGATGATGGTTCCCCAGGTGGTTCCTGTGATGGTTCCTTGAGCCGCAGCGAAGGCGTCGGTACCACGGAAACGGAAGTGTCGGAAGATGAACTCTGGCTTTCCGTTCTCACGGCCGAATAACTCGTCATGGCGTCACCATCGCTGCTTCCTCTCACTCGACGATGATGACTCGGATTCATCGTCAATCTCCTCGATTTGAATTTCGAACCGGTTTGCATGCTTTTGACACGATCCAGTTTGTGTTCCAAGTTGCAAACTAGCTTTTGTTGCCACTTGGACACCTTGTCGTCGACCTTTCGGATGAACGACCGGGTTTTCTCCTTGGATTTTTGCGGACTTTCGCCGCCAGATGGGAGATCTTCTGTGCTGGAAGACTTGAGTGAAGGTTCTTTTTCGGGGTGAATTGACGACGACGATGGAGAGGATTTGGTGGAAGAACATGCTGCTGGCGGTGTTTTGCAGGGATCGTCGTCTGGTTCCATATTGTCGAGTTTTTGGCACGACTTTTTGATTCACTTTTCGGCGCGAAACTGATGAAATCACTGCCGCAAATCATTCAGATACTAACACGGATTTTAAAAAGGAAGAGTAAATATGCTGCTTTCTCAAAATATCATGAATGATACAATTAATCCTTTTTTATGCCAAATTCATGATATTTGTAAATGCCTAAACGTTTCAAAAATCACTGAAGTAATTCCAAGTCACAAAAATATGGGAGGTTTGTATGATGGGATGTGGAGAACATAATTGTTTGAACCTTGTGGATTCTGAAAATTGGAAAATAAAGCTAGTTTATCTAAAGTCACCCCCGCACAACGGACCTCCTGCACAACATATTTTTGCACAAGAGACCACCTCTGGAGGCGGTTTTCACTCCAATGCGATGAACTAAATCAGCATAACAGACTTCTGTTGGTTTAAAATAAATGATTAAAATTTTAATTTTCTAATAATGGAATTTTTATAAAAAAAGTTTTTCACACAAAACACTTGTCTGTTGCATGAATTAAGTCCATTGTGTGGGGGGTGACTGTATACTTTGTAATAAACTGTTGTACTGTATTTCCTTCTAATTCCAGAAAAACCTGTTTTTCCTCTTTGGGTTCAGAAAGGGGTTGACAGAGAATAAATAGCCTTTCAATTACCTTTTAGGGGAACCTTTAAGAGGTTCACATACACTAAAATATCTACAAAAATATTTAAAAAGTACTAGTCCTTATAGTAAAAACATCATCCAGCATTTTGAAACTACTTCAGATTTGTCCTTACATTCATAATGTTTTACTCTCAGTTGCTACATTATTCCCATTGAATTTAATCTTTGACAAAATGAGCATCATATTTTCTTTAAAATTGTTAAAAATGCCTTTTCTGTTTGTATTTCAATATATGGTTTACATTTGTTGAAAGTAAGTCAGTCCATTGTGTGCTGGATTCATCCATGAGATATCTTAATTGTAATAAGGACCTATATTAATGAGCTTGAAAAATATTAGCCATTTATTTTAAACTTTATTTTTTTCTAAATGTACTTCAGATTCATATAATCACTATACAAAGGTTTGAAATAAAATTTCACATGTTATATCGTCAATTTATTTTTTACAAACTATTTTCTATAAAGAAGGTCATACTTTTTCTGATTGAAAGTGAAGAACTGAAGATACAGTTTTAATGACAATAATTCGAGTATCAAATTATGCTAAACTGAGCCTCTTTGAAGTTTGCAGTTGCTCCATGATGAATAGTATCCAGAATATTCTGCATCAAAAACAATAGAGTACTGTATTCAGTAAAACGAAGCTATTGAAACGTCAGTTTTCATTCGGATTTCCGCGGATGGAGAAACACTTGAATTTTCTCCGCTTTGAAAACACAATAGGAAAAGTTTCCAAGATGGTACTCATGAAATGCTTTCATGCACTGTTCATCGTATCACATCACAGAAGTTCACCGCATTTCATCGTAAAACCGAATGCAATTTTGTTGAGTCATGAAGTTTATCTAATCGCTCACGGAGTTCCTTTATAAGGGCTTATCAGGAATTCATGCCACACTTCAACCGTTTTCAAAATGATAAATGAAATGGAGACATTTTTTTTTTTGCGTTCCAGTAGTAAACGAACTTCGTCCAAGACTTGTAACCCTAAATATAATTTTTTATACAAGCGAAGTGCTCGAAATTCAAGCTGTAATCCCAGCAGCTGTGTCTGAAAATTTTTCATAGCTCAGGTAGATGTCGCCCGAGTCCTAAATCTATAGTGTTTTCACCTGTGAGAGAGATGTTGTTAGTACAGATGCTTCTTAAAGAAGGATATTTTTTATAAACCAGTAGTGTACTCTAACAGAGGTGTTTAATATTCCCAAGAGATGTTGCTTTAATAGAAAATAATGCTTTATTTCTGGTACCTTGAATTTTGTTGTAGAGTCCAGCACCTGTTTACCTCAACACAGACCTGAAAAACCCCAGGAGTGCTGGAGCGACACCTATAAAATCACGAATAAAATGTTGAACTGCCAGACGCTGCAAAAGTAAAGAATCCCAAATGAAGATTTTCTTTTGATGCAAATGATTTCTTCTTTTAGAGTTTCGTCATCATAATACTGCATATAATCATCAAATATTGCCAAGTTTTTTCATTCCCAAGATTTCCTTTTCATTTCTTTGCAAGTAACTCTCAGTCTCTATTTATTATGTTATTTGAGACTAGTGTTATTAAACTGAAACATTTTGTAGATGAGTCTTTACTTCTTTGGAAAACTTGTAAAATTCTCAATATTAACGTGAATGTGTAAAGTTTATGCTAAGATCAGTTATGCTAATTTATGCAAACAATTTATGCTAATTTTTTGCTCAGAGAAAATATTTAGAATTTCCAAAGCGTTTTCCATCAAAGAAAAATTTGAACGTTGGAGCTGGACATGGGCGCTATTTCCAACTAGTTGTTCACTAGCTGTGAAAATTTCATCCCTCAATTGAAGAATAAAATGTTCTGAAAGTACATGGGACAGTGGGAGTCATTTTTTGTCTCATTCTTGAACTTGAACATATTGAAACTCATCCCTTTAAGAAGGAACTTCCATAGATTATGAGTCTGTTTCTCATTATCACAAATAATATAAATTTATCACTTATAAGAAAAAAAGTTCAGAAAGAACTCGGGGGTCAATATTTTTTTTTTCATCACTCCTTGAACACATTCCGTCTCATCCCTTCAAGAAGGAACAATTTATCCTGCGCCTGTTTCTTATTATTACATTCCAGTACAATTTCCTTTTTTTTTTAAGAATTTTTTTTCTGCTGAGGCCTTGGAGGAATTGCTCTGTATAGAAACTAAATGGTTCACGCGAACAAAGAAATGCTTCACAATATCCTGTTTTATGCGGTGTTTTGCTGCCCCTGGGTTCGGTTTTGGCAACCGACTCATTTCTGCGGATCAAATTAACTGAGACAAAGTATAACACGGCCATGGGAAAGAGGTCACAAGAACACTGAAACATCCATCACACACATATACACAAACACATGCCTGCTGTGGTTCATGCCTTCTTTCCAGCAGACGAACTGTCATTCAAGTTTCCAACCTGCTTTGCATATTTGCGCCCAGAATTCTGGAAATACGAGACTCCTCAGAAGTTTGATACTGTACCTGGTTCAGAGAATTCATGATGTTTACACGTTTTCTGATTCATGAGGAGCAGGGGAAGATGTGAAAGAAACTCAAAGGTATTTTCCAGATGCCCGTCAATCCAAATTATTTTTTTTTTCGAATATTATTCATTAATATTATTCAGTATTTACTCCATGTGTTTATATGGAGGTCTTTACATTTCAATTAAAGGACCAACACATTTGCTGGCGGAAGAACTTGACCTTGGAGGATTGAAAATTGTTTGATGGTATGGTTGAACCGACTCAATAAATCTAACTGAAATGGAGAAGTCATAAAAATGTTTGATTGGGGTAGTGTTTGAGTATCTTCAACCTTTTCAAGTTGAACTTCTACAAGGCACTTGCAGAAAACTTTGACTCAGGACGGTTTTTACTTGATATCATTTTTGTTGGTGATAAAAAGAAAGAACTATAGGAGGGGTTGGTGATCTTTTGGGCCTTATACTCTGTTAAATAATTGAGTTCAAAGGCTGCATTTGTCCAATCAGCCATTCATTTCCATCCATGAAAAGCACCAAGTCGCATTTTTATTGCTTGTCTCTTTCTTGATTGTAAATCAAGACTAGTTCCCTTTGGGCCTCAAAATTATGAGTTATTTGATTGGGAACGTTTTTGAGTCATGGAGGTTTATGTCCATTTTTCTCAAGCAAATTCAGATGGAGTCAAAAATTGAAGTAGAGTAGTATTTTTAGTTATGGAGGTTTGAGTTATTGAGGACTAACTGTTCAAGAAACTGCGATTTTAAGGAAATATGAACAATTACAGCAAAACTGAAATGGGTGCCATGTTGGGCCTCAAAGTGTATGGTATATAGTAGTTGACAGCAGGATGCATTCTTGTATTTGATACATAAAAATGGTGTCCTGCAATTTGGCCCTAATCTGTGGTTGGACTAGGGTCAGTTGTGACTTGTGAAGCAGTCAAATTGCAAAACAACATCAGATGTAATGTTCTCTAAATCATGACCTTTTTGCCTCTCTTAGTGGGTTGAATTGTGGAGCAGAGGTCAAATTGCAATTCAACCTCCCCTCAAATATAACTGTCAAATTGTTGGATGGAAAATTATGGGGTGGTCAAATTGCAAGGTACCATGTGTACCAGTGGATTCCCTTTACAGCACAAGAATTTTGATGTACAGAACCCCAAAATCATGGGGAGAAAATCCTATGGGACCCACACAAAAAAATTATACACACAAACTCTTTCTAGCCAAGATTTTTGTATTGCAACTTCTTCTGGAAGGTTCCAAGAACATACAAGTTCAGGTTGTACCTTGAAATTTGACTGTAATCTGTTGCTGGACTAGGGACAAATTGCAAAGTGATCAAATTGCAAGACAATGTCATATGGCATGTTTCCTACATAACATCTGACATGTCATGTCTCTCAATGCACAGGTCAGATTGCACGGCAGAGGTCAAATTGAGAGTCAACGTCCCTGCAAATTTGACCATTGAATTGTAGGATGGTCAAATTTTGAGAGGTCAAATTGCAAGGTACCACCTGTGCAAGGCAGTAATATGTACTTTATTTTTGATAAAACACATTCTTGAAAATAGAAAGCTGCATTTTCAATTCTTGTTTCAATGAGAAAATGTTGATTTCATCATCAGCAATACAAATCAACAACAAATAATTCACCTCATAAGTCCTCCACGCCATATGCTCCAATTCCAAGAAAAAAACATCATCAACCTTATGGGCCATGTAGCTGCCATGTTTTTGCTCAAGAAACACGATTTCTACAGCAGATCCCACCAAGAAACTTCCTATACCCCTTTTATATCTTCCAACATCAGTATATAATGAATCCAAGATAATGTTCCATTGAGCCCCATCAGGAATAATAAGAAAGAATGGCAAAAAGGGAAAGGGGCTTGTGATGGGCCACATACACACACACACAAAGAAGAAGAAG